ATTGGATACCTGCAAAGGATAGCGCGAGTCTGACTCACGGCCTCAGCAGAAGCTCCAGAAACCAGCTAACAAAGGCATCGACTGAGGCTACATAGTCTAGGGAAGGGCACGTCTCACGTTCTGGATCCCAGTCACAGGAGAGAGGGGGTGGGTCATTCTGTCTTCAAGAACACTTTCGGTTGCTGAATTTTTTCGGTTTTTCCTATTTCCAAAACCAGCCTCGATGGCAGTTCACTGAGGGAAAAGTTGAGGAACTCTAGGATAAAAAAAGCAAAAAAAATTAGGAAACAAAGATGGAAATAGGGAAATTTTAGGAAGGCTGAGGGATGGGAAGAAGGGGAGGGTCTTATCTGAGGAGGGAAACTCAGCGGGGAGGTGGAGGGGGGGTGTCGTATGTTGCGAAAATTTCCCTTGAGGCGATACGTGCTTTGTCTACAATCTAGGGAGATCACACAGGACCAGGACAGATTATCCTGGCATGAGCCGCTCACTTATAACACAAGCCCTGCTTTCTCGAATAATCGTGCTAGTCGTTTGAAAATGAACTTTGGACGGTGAAACACCAGTTGCGAAACCATTTCTAATGGCCTCCATTGTAACAAAAAGATGGCGGCAGTGTCGGCGAAAAGTGTTTGCACTACTGAACAGGAGCAAACTGTGAACAGATTGCGCCATTCACTTTTTTTCAACTTCTTCCACCTCAACTAACTACTGGGACTGCTCTGTGCAGGTCTTTCGGGAAGTCTGTCAAGAATGTGGCCCTAGCATGAAACATATTTCCTCCATTTGGCTTGAAGAATGAAGGAAGGAAGAAAAGTTGGAGAAGAAGAACATCTTCTTTTTGGTATGCCATAAAAATACTGGAGAGCGCATTCTATGAAGTCTGAGGTACAGTCTTTTTCTGAACACATTGCGGACCGCCGTGCTGACCGCATCTCGGGATTATTTCATTATTTTCATCACTAATTCATCTGTAATTTCCCCCATTTTCCAATCGTTTATGAGGTAAGTCTCTTCCGTTATTGGGAATGTGTTTTGACAACTTCAGAATATCTAATTTAGAGCCAAAGGCC